CCCCCCCCCCCCCCCCCCCCCCCGTGGCAAATGGGGCTGAGGGTGGACGAGGTGGACTCAGACCTGGGTCTCAAGGTGGCCTGACCTCTTCAAGGAAGACAGGCGCAGAGGGGCCCCATGGGCTGGGCTTGCCGGTGCGAGAGCCAGGCTGGGGTGCCCTTGAAAGGGCTCCAGCTCGGTGCCGAACTGGTCCTCCTGCTCTCTGAAGCCATGATTTTGGCGGGGGGGGGGCGGGCAAGGCAATGTCCTTCCTTTGGGAGTTCCTTGTCCCTTAAAACCTGCCGCTGCTGCTCCTCAGGAAGCCGGATTAGAGGGCACTTAATTCATAGGCTGCTGCTGTTTCATTGCTGCTGTGTGGTTTTAAGGGAAGGATTAAAAACCTCTGGGAGGTTTGCTGGAATGTGGCGGTCTGTAAGAATGGTAAAATAAATAAGCTGTTACGACTGCCCGTTTAGAATTACTAGAATGCAAGCTAAGGTCGAACAATTTCCTGTTTCTATCACTCCTCACCCTTCTCTTAATTTCCCTGCTGCCCCAGGTGGCTCAGAACCAGTTGACTTTCTTTTGAACCTGTTTGCCCTATAGCAATTTCACCACTGAAGCATGCAGTGAAAAAATTATTTATTTTATTTATTTATTTACACACACGCACACACACACACACACATATATAAAAATTTATAATTGCCCTCAGCATTCCCTTCTCCACACTTAGGCTCAATATGGCGAGAGGTATTCCATGCCGGGGGGGAAGCCTGGGGCAGTAGGGACACTTTGCCACAGCATTTTGGGCCCAGCCTCTGTCATCCTCTGCTGTAAAACAGAGTGCCATTTCCTACTGAAACAGCCCTAACTTGGCTCTGAGCCAGGCTAGCTTCTCTCGGTGAGCAGGAAAAGGTGATCCATTGAAAAGCACACCTGGATCACAGGCTCCTGGCTGATCCCGAACATGGATGGAAGAGCCGGGGAAGTAACTCCTGCCCAGAGGCCAAAGTCAGCCCCCTCCCTGTTTTGCAGGGTTGGATGATCTCAGGGGACTCCAACGTGGGGGAGGTGTAGGTGACAAATTGGCAACGGCTGGGGAGTTCCTGTCCTTGTTGGGAGAAGAGGTGTGCTGGCTAAATTGCCAAGGAAGCAGTTTAGCAGTGATAAGGAACGGCTTTTTCCTCAGACCCACATGCCTGGTAGGTCAGGCTGACGGGCTGGAGGTTGCTTTCTGTCCCCTGTTGTAAGCACTGTTTGGTGAGGAATAATCAGCTCCTGCAGATTCCAACCAAATTCAGCGCCTCGTCGTGGGATATCCTTTCCCTGCTAGGCAGTCTCTGCCTGAGAACAGAGGAAAAGTAGTTTTCAGCAGCCCCCCCACCCCGCTCCTGTCCTGAGCCCAAACTAGAGTGCAGATGAGCTGCGCTCTTGTAATAACTGGCGTCGGCCGGCGGGGGTGGTGTCCCCTCCCTTTGTCTTGCAGCAATTGAGAGAAGCAGGGAAGGAACATGCTGCTGGATAGAAATGTCTAATTTTTTCCCCCGGCCATTTTTTAATTTGTCCCACAATTAGGGAAAATCTTGCAGGCTCCTTCGGCAAAACCACCATATTGTGGAGTCAGTGATAAACGGATATTGTAAGTAAATAAATAAATGCATTATAAATAAATAGTGTGGCTGAGTATAAGTTTAAGTTTAAGAAGTATTCTGATATTTCTAGAGATCTGTGCATCTCCCATCTCCATTGCTTTGTCTGTTATGGTGCAAGGTGATTAATAACTTTGCTTTTCTACTGCTTTTTCCAGTAGCTTAAAAAAAGGCAGCAGCTGAATTTGAATGTAAGGAAGATTTGTTTGAGTTGAACAATCTAACCTGTTTTTTCTTGCTTGGCTTCCCCTAGTTTAGCCATTTAGCCAACACTCTTGGATGTCAGCAGTGGGGTGTCCCAGTAACTAAGCCGCCATTTGCCAGTGGTGTGTCCTGGAAGTAGCCACAATAGCCTCGCTGAGTTCTCCCTCCCCCCCATTTAAAGATGATTTTAGCCTCAGTGCTTTGATTCTCGTTTGATGAACAAGAATCTGTTGTTAGCCCCACCAGCTCAGACCAGAGTGCCACGAAGGAGAGAGAAAGTTCAAAGAACACGCTTCATGGTTTCCTTGCTTTTTCCTTTTCTTAGAGTTTATGGACTCAGATATACAAATGTGTATTATACCTGCTGTGATAATATCCTAAACCTTCATGTGCGAAATGCAGGTGCATTATCGACTCCTTTGATGGCATCTGCAGGAGTCTATCCTGGCATCTAGAGGCTGATTCTCCAGCAGGAGAGATTTAGCAGACTTTTGGCTTTTTTTCCCATGGATCTGTTTAATTATTTACATATTTAAAATATTTCTGTATTGCTTCTCATTATAGAAAGTAATCAGACGAAACTATTCCTCTGGAGGGAGCGTTATCAAGAACATAAATTTCTGCTTTCTCTTTTGCCGGCCAAGCAAGAGAACCATGGAGATTGCTTTTAGAAGACCCACATTTCTCAGCCCATTCAAAATCAGACCAGAACCCTAATTGCTTCTCTGGAAGTTTTCATGATAAATGCTGGAATGGAGTACCCTGAACCCTCCAGTACTCCAGACTTGACGGTCATGCTCTCTGATGACGGAAAAAAGGAATTGAGTTCTGACCCTGGAGAGCGCTTGAAACGGACTTGGGATTTGCTTGCGTTTTCTGAAACTTGCCAGGCTGAAAATATTACTCCCCCTTCTTCTTTGCGTCTTGTACAGGATAGGCTGGAGGGCGTTCACTGCAGCACTGAAATGCCCTCCGAAAAGTCTCTCCCAGTGTTAACCCAGAATCATTTTGAAGCATTGCGCCCGGAAGTGGGTCACCCCATTTTGGAAAGCTTGGACTTCTCTGAGACGTTTGGGCAGCCTCTTGAGCCCATAAGAAACCCGAAAAGTCCAGATAAGCGCAGTAGCAATGCCACCCAAGCTGTTTTTTGGGCTGGTATCCTACAAGCCCAGAAGTGCGTCCTAGACCTTCAAGGGGAGATAGATAAACAGAAAGAACCCCTGAAGTCCCCCACTGTGGATTCGGAAAACATGCCGGTGACAGCCGTGCCCCTGGACTCGGCTGCCATCCATGAACCTTTGTTCTTGGACAGCGATAGTGAGGAGGAGCCAGAAGAAGCTTTAGAGAAACAGGAGGAGGAAGAAAGTGAGGAGGAGGAGGAGGAGGAGGAGGTTGAGTACTTGTTTTTCAACAACCCACTCTTTCAGGAAAGTCCTCACATAACCAGAACTTTTGAAGGACAAATCCCATGGGAACAACCAGAGAGGGAAACTTCCACTGAGAATTACAAGGAAAGTTTTAAGAGTGAAACGGACTCTGGAGACCAAGATGGCGACTTGTTTTACCAGGCAAATGTGGCAGTACGCCCTGTGGTCAGGAGTTTTTTTCCTGTGTGTGATCCAGGTGCTAACGAGGACATATCCCCCTGCTCTTTTCCAAGCTATGTGCCCCACTATCGTTCTTTGTCTCCTTTGGTGATTACGGAAAGAGATCTTGAAAGTACGTGCTCTTTGGCAGAGAATTCAAAGGTAAGAGAGGTGTCCTGCTGCTGCTGCTGCTGCTGCTGCTGCTGCTGCTGCTGCTGCTGCTGCTTCTGGGTAATAGGACTCACGAGCATCCATCTCCTACCACGTTGGCTGTGGTTTTACGTGAACTTAGTTGGAGTTTTAATTCCTATTTAGGTTCAGTCTCCTCCAACAAAAGAATGCATTCCACCAGCTGCTGAGCCCCTCCTTCAGGGCCAGGATAACAGCACTGGACCTGCAAGAGCCCTTGTTGCCCAAACTAAAACCCTCTCTTGTTTTGGCTGCTGGCAGATGTAGGCCGCTGTTAGGGCTAGCCTTAACATCGGCCACTAGATGTTTGATGTCTTGGAAATCCTTGAGATCTGGAGACAGCAGGAGGACAGCTTCTGAAGGCAAACTAGAGGCGACTGCTTGAGCGGTTACCTGGTAAATGGCATAAGATAAGATCTTTCACAAAGCTAGGTCCTTACCTTCAACCAAATGGCATCAGAACAGTCTGCGAGGCTTCATTTGCACTATGCCGGGCTGATTTTGTCTCTATGTCCTGTTGCTGATGTGCAGCCATTGTTCTTCCATCAGTTCTTGGGAAATGCTTGAATATCCACTCCTGATGGAAATGTATAGGGAGGCAGGGCACATGGGGATCAGAGCAGCTTTTCATGTTGTTAGCTGCCTCAGCTTTTCATGACTACCAAGATTTATCTTCCAGGCTCAGGGCTGTTTTCTGGATCCCCTCCAAGGAGATATTCTGGAAAGCATTGCTCCAGGTGAGTCCTGCACTGATCGTTCTAAGAGCATCAGACAATGCTCTGTTCCCATATCAAAGCTTTCTAAGCTGCACAAGAAAACAGGCGGAGGCAGTGGCTCCTGGCTATGTACAGGCTTCATGGTTTGCTTACTTCTACTGCTGAGTACAACATAGTTGTTTTCATGGACGTGGATTGTTCAGGGCTATCGGAAAATTTGAAGTATTATAGGAAATCATCTTTGTACAGGTAGTCCTCGACTTACAACCACAATTGGGACTGGAACTTCCATTACTAAGTGATTGTGGTCATTAAGTGAGTTGCGCCTGATTTTACAACCTTTTTTGCCATGGTTGTTAAAGCGAATCACTGCAGTCATTAAGTAAATCATGTGGTCGTTAAGTGAATATGGTTCCCCATTGACTTTGCTTGTTGGAAGCCCACTAGGAAGGTTGCAAATGGGGATCACGTGACCCCGGGACGCTGCAACTGTTATAAATATATGCTGGTTGCCGAGTGCCTGAATTTCAATCGTGTGACCATGGGGATGCTGTGATGGTCGTAAGTTTGAGGATCTGTTGTAAGTCACTTTTTTCAGCACTGTCATAACTTTGAACAGTCTTTAAATGAATGGTTGTAAGTTGAGGACTACCTGTATAGGAGTTGGAGTTAGATCTTGTCATTTCAAGATTAGGAATTAGCCAAAGCAAAAATTTATCTAATTCTGAGAACCTGATGCTTTGATAGGGTCTCTTCCCCACAATAGGATTGTAGGGCCCTTTCCTTGCTGCGTCATACTTTTTTTTTTTTTTTACTTAAACCTGATAGATAAATAGATAAATAGATAGGAGAGGAAGGGGCTGTTCCCAAGTTTCAGTTTGTTGATTTCCAATATAGGAATAGGTGTAGAGCAGCTTCTCTGTTGAGTCTCTAGCTAGATCCTGATGGCTCACATGCTTCTTGGAGGGTAAGACAGGCCAGCTTCTTGAAGGACCAAAGCAAGGTGTGGAAAGGAAACTGCCTGGTAACTGACGTGTCCCTCTGGTCCAGACGCAGACCTCCCTGTCTATTTGCCAGCAGAAGGCCTGCTGTTTTCTGCCTCCAGTACTTCTTTGATGTCTGCTTTGCTGCAAGAGCCTACGGAGATCTGCTCCCCTCACAAGCCTCCATCTCCAGGAAAGAGCAGCTGCATCCCCTCCGGCTTCCAGGTCCTCTCAGGGCCTACTGCAGAGCAGAGTCTGCAGCAGGAGAAATTTGGGCCACAAACCCCATCCCATGGCCACCTCTCATCTTCCTGCACATGGCTAGAGGAGCCTCAGAGAACTTCCTCTCTACGGAAGGATGTCCCCAGAGCAGATTTGCACTCCTACCCACTTTGTGGTATGGAGCGGAAGTTGGCGAGCTCAGCGGAGAGGCTCAAGATGGTGGAGTCACCAGCTATGCAAAGTGATGGGGGGTCGAAAGACAAAGAGGAAGAGCCGGTGTTAGAGTAAGTATGGTTTGAGTGATATCTGCTGATCTGTTGGCCTTCTCTGTCTGCTCGCCACCTGGAACATCCTCCTGCTGCGGTGGGAAGGTGGGCTTGGGCCAAGGGAGCCAGTGCAACCCAGCAGGTATTTGGAGGCTTCTCTGAAGTGACTGAGGCTTTGTCCAGTTGCCTTCCTGCCTCATGGTGGCTGCGTGTCAGCATTTATTCTCTTGAGCCGCGGCTGTGCCTGCTCCTGACCTTTTACACACCTTGCCCCTGTCTCTGAATCTCCATCCTCTGCAGCTGCCCTGAAGAACTCGGAGGGGAGTTTGGCAGCACAGGGGAGAGTCTGCCCGCCACGGGCATAGCAGAACCAAATGGCACCTTGCTCTTTGCAAACGGCACCTCTGGAGACCAGGCTGCAGCGCACAGGCTGGCAGCTCGCCTCTACCATCTGGACGGCTTCGGGAAATCCCAGGTGGCTGCTTTTCTCCAGAAGAAGTAAGATGGCCTTGAAAGTCTGCAGTTAAACAGCTCCTGCTGTTTGGGGACTTGAACGCTTGTCACTTTTATTACTTGCATAGTTTGGACGCGCCCGCACACACACATACACTCATTTCTTCGTGCTGATGCATTTCTAGACCAGTGTTCTAGGAAACAGTGCCCTCTGCTGACTAAGAGTTGAGAACGCAGGTGCTTTGCGCAGGTTCCAGAGTAGAAACTGCCATCCTCTGGCAGCCCAAGCCGCTGAATCTTTCAGCCCCGGAAGAAATGTAAAGGACCGAAGCTTTTTCCAGCAGGAGTACAGCTGGGGGAAATATTAGAAGGAGGGGCAGTAAGAGCAAGGGCCAAAAGGGCTGAAATGTGGTGGTGGTCTTTTTTCTCTTTTTGCTTTGACTTTTGCACAGTCCTTGATGGATCTCTCATGGTCCGGTGTCATCGGACTGGGGGGCTTGAGAAGCAAGGCAGGCGTGAGGAACCCTGGGAGGGTGAGAGGCTCTCTTAGCGGCCTGGGGGTGCGTGGGGTTTTCTGAGCTGTCCCTGTGTGTTTGTCCACAGCAATGCCTTCAGCCAGAGGGTAGCCGAAGCTTACCTTTCCTTCTTCCATTTCTCTGCACAAACTCTGGACCAAGCCCTGAGGTAACGTACTCCTTGCCACAGACTGGCTTTCCATTTTCAAAAGGGGAAGTGAAACTTTATACTTTCTGGCCAAGTGGGTATTTCCTGCTCTTCCTGATTAGGGAGCGTGCCCTTCCCTCCCCCAGGTCCAGGAAGCCAAGGGCTCAGCTAGGATGTGGCTGGACTATGTGGGGGAGTAACAAGGTGAAGGGTGGCAAGAGGGGAATGAAATGTTGTGGGAAGAAAAGATAGAGCGGCCTCTTCCCGCATCCCTGCTACCAGTCAAGGCCTGCTGGATTTGGAGACCTTCCTTGAGCTGTGGGAGAGAACCTGAATTCAAGAAAGATCCCTGGAACCTTTGAGCAGCTGTGGCTGCGTCTGAAGTCTCCTCAGCCTCCGTGCGTTAAAGGTATCTTGCTGAGAAGTTCCATTGTGAAGATAAAAGCACATCCTCCCAGCCTCACAATTTCAGCTGGCTTCAGTCTCCTTATATTGTCCAGATGCAAAATGGGCGGAAGTAGAAGCATGCGAGGTCTGCTGCTGTTAACCAGGTCCTGGGGAGACGAAGGCACCTTCCATACCTTTTGTGTTTCACATCCTGTTGGCAGGTCATTCCTGAAGTCATTGGTGCTCACTGGGGAGACCCAAGAGCGGGAGCGGATCCTGCTGCATTTCTCTCAGCGCTACCACTGCTGCAATCCAGAGGCCTCTCTCAGTCCAGGTGAGACACTCAAGCAAGACACCTTCCGCTCAGACCAGACCTTGCGGGTGCATCAGCTTCGGTTTGGGCAACAAGCGCTCTTGTACTTACCGTGCTTTTATTCTGGCCTCAAAGGAGGGATCGAGGTAGAATCGTTATTTTCTGACGGAATCTGAGAATTCCGGTTCAAAACAGGAATCGAGTAACTTAGCTGTTAGTATATCATTGTCATTTCCCTTGAGCAGCTGGTAGACTGATTCTCTTCATATCTGTTTGAGCATATAAAGAAGTATATTTCGTGGGCCTCTTTCACCATCCTTAGTTCTACAGTTTCAGGCTACTTGCGTATACTCTTTCTTGGCAACTGATTTCCAACTCCTGGAATTTTGGTTAACCACATTACTGTCTTCTCTTGGGGGGGGGGGGGGTTTGTTCACTGTTGTGCTTACAATTTTATCTCTTTTGGGAACTCAGACTCCTCTTAAATGCCTTTTCCCATTTGTTTCTCCTGCCTTGGAGTCCTATTTTTCATTGCTCTGAGTTGATTCAAATTTGTTTTTGTAGTCCAAAAACTCATTTACACTCAACTTTATTACACTCAACCATCCCCACCCCAAAAGAAAATGTCTGTATATTGTTGCTAATACTAATTCCCAGAGGGATCATCTTTTTTTTTAACTTTATTGATTTTCAATAAAGAATAAAATATAAGGAAACAGAAGAAACAACAAATTTCAGGAAAAAAAAGAAGGCTAAAAGTGCAGAAAAGGAAAATGAAAAGAAAGAAGAGGTGACTTCTGACTTTCTTTGTTGCAGATACAAATATAGAATACATATATCTTTTACTCTAATACAATACCGCATATTGAGTCTTTATTATTTTCTCCTCCTCCTTTCAGGAGCAACTTCAATAAATCCTCTTTATCTTTCAGTAGTTTAAGTCCTTTTTTTTTGTAGATCCAAAATAGTGTCATCATTAGACTGATCCAAATTCTGTTTACTTTGAAAGAGTTCATTCTTTAAACCTGGCAAACAGTGCCCCACAAATTGAATATTATTTTCTCCTTGTCTTCTTCTTTCAGGAACCACTTCAATAAGTTCTCTTTGTCTCTCAGTGATTTAAAACATTATTTTTGTAAATCTAAAACACTATCATCGTTAGGCTGATCCAAAGTATCTGTAAGTCCAAAATAAGATTCCTTTTCTTTAAAGTCAAGTAAAATATCCATCTCTCTTTTTTTTGCCATATCTTTATTATCCATATTATTCTCCAAGATATCCAACTTGTGTTCAACTTGCCTCACATCAATAGCAACCTCATTTAATTTAGCACTGAGTTTCTTGTTCAAATTATCAAATTTATCCTCCAGGGACTGCAAAATTTAGAAACATAATCTTGAAGCAATCATTTCTGCAGTTTACTCTCTTAATAGCCATGGTCAATAGTGCTTTCTAGTGTCAGAAATACAAATTACATTCTATCCAAAGTAAATAGTGAAAGGAAGAAAGTCCCTTTATCTTAGTTAAGATTCCTTTCCAATCAGCACCAAGTAAGGAAGAAAACAAAGCATAGTTCACACAGTTCCCATATCCACATTCTAATATCACAAATCTAAGCACAGATTTGCCAGGAAAAAATTTTTTTTTTCTTTTGTTTCTTAAAAATTAAGTAAAAAATCCAAGCGTTTGCCTTTTTTACTGAATATACAAAACTATTTACCCTAATCAAAAAAAGAAAGCGAAATCTTTCCACAAAGCACCTATAGTACCCAAAAGGAAAAAATACACTGTGACTAAAGAAAGCCTCTCTTTAATCCTATAGAAGTAAAAAAAAAAAAAAGATTTTAGAAATGAGAAGGTCAGTGCCAGGGTCTGGGTTTTTTTTGGCTTCCTTGCAGCCTGGAACGTGATGGTAACCCCGCCTCCCAGCTGATCCCTTGCCAGTCGGTCCCAAAAGTCTCTGGCTGTGAAAAGCTGTCCAGAGATCGCGTGGGACGATTTCTAAGATTCCAGCGAATTCTTCAGGCTGCAGGAACCCTAAAAAGCCTGCCAGGACCGCTCCCCCCTTGAAAAGGAGAGCCTGGTGCGTGGCCGTATCTCACCGAAATTGAGGGATCTTCTTTTTAACTCAGATTTCATTTTTTATACATAAATTACTGAATGAGCAGGGGTTTGCCGGAGGGAAGAGGCAAGAAAGAAGTGAGAATGACCAAGAAATAATGTGTTGTGAGGAATTTTGTCCTGGGTTCTAAGGGATGAGAAGGATCTCCTGAGTAGCTGCTGGTTTCGGGGGGGGGGGGGCTGGATTCTGCTTATTCGTTGACTGTTTTTTGCTGCATGCGCAGAGGCTGTAGGAGGAACATAAGAACCACGTTACAGGGAGACGGCTCACTTAGCAAGCAAATGGAAAACTCGCTGCACTGTAGTTTGTGGGGCCGTTCAAGGGGAATCTAAAGCATTTCCCTCTAAGCTCAAGGACTGCACTTGCTGATGAAAGGCTCAGAAAGAAACAAGAGGAAATATAAACCTTTCCACTAAGGCTGTCTTAAGAAGCAAAAGTGAAAATGAACAGTCTGTACTTGTGACCTGAAATACTTGTAACCTCTTTTGTTACTGCCTAACAACAACCATACATATATTTGCAGCAAATGGAAGCTCATAGTAATCCTTGAAGAATTGCAGCAAGTAGCTTCCTTGTACTGGTACATGTTTAATTGTTTTAACTTGGTACTGGATTTTGTAAGCTGGCCAGAGTCTGCTGGAGTGGACAGCTACAATACGTGTAAATAAAACCAAGGGGCACTGCAGCAGAAACCGACTGGAAGCATATTCTGTAAGGAAGGCAGTCAGACAAAGGATGAAGCTCAACAAGTATAAGTAATAGTAAGAAACGAGAAATGAAGAATGAGTGAAACCCAGAAACTTCAGAACTTCATAGTAGATGAGATCTGAGTCTTCAGGGAAAGAAAGAAAGATGCTGCAGAAAAGGGGGCAAGTTAGTTGACCCTGGAGGGCAGAGAGGGTAAAACTCTGCCCTGTAAGAAGGCAAATAGTGTGATAGTTGAGGACTCATTACTATGATGACTTTGAAACAAATTATGCCAACTGGATGCATTAGTTCATGAAATGTGCTGTCTGGGAGCAAGGATTAGAGGTGTGGCCGCTCAACCTCCTTGACTTATCAGCTCCACTGACAATTACCCCTTCCTGTTAGTGCATGTGGAAACAATTTGTATTGTAAAGAACAGCTACAGCCATATACACAGACTTTCTAGAAGGAGAACTCAAGACTTAAGGCCTAACATTACACACTCATTCATCCTTCCTGTCCATGGGAGAAGATTGGGGAAAAAAAAGACTACTGCCAGTGAATTACCAGCCATGCAAAAGCTGTTATATGGCGATACTGTATTTGGTTTCTGAGACTGTGGTTTGTTATCTGGATGATGGACTGCTGGCTCAAGATGGGATGCATCTCTCAACAACTGGTAAAATGTATGTGCCTAAAGCATGGTGAAAGGTCAGAATCAGTGGCAAGCAATGGACACTGTGACACTGTCATATGTCCTGTGACACTATGGAAGCAAAGTTGGACTTGAAGAAGCAGGATAGAGAGAGTGTTGATGCTTTTGAATGTTGGTGTTGGAGAAGATTCCTGAGAATACCATGGACAGCCAAGAAAACCAACGAAAGGGTCATTAAATAAATCAATCCAGAGTTCTCTCTTAAGGCACAAACGACCAGGCTCAAATTATCCCATTTTGGACATATTATGCAAAGACCCAGCTCTCTGGAGAAGGCTCTAATGCTGGGAAAGGTGGAAGGGAAGGGAAGAAGAGGATGACCAGCAGCAGGGTGGATGGACTTGATTGCAATGATGACAGGTGCACCGCTGGAAGATGTGAAGGACCAGATTAGGGAAGTTTCTCTTGGAGAAAATCTCATCTGTGTGGTGCTAAGAGTTGACACCAACTTGATGGCATATAATAAAGCATGGGGAGTGTGATCACTCTAGAATCATAGAACGTATGAATTGGAAGGGGCCTTGTAGGTCACGTACTTCAAGCATCTACTTGGTGTGGAAATCCATCAATCCATGCCTGACAAGTATCTCTGAATCTACTCCTGTTCCAGACAGACTGTTCCACTGCTTAATAGCTCTTACTAGTAAACAAATTCTTCCTCACATTCAGCCTGAATCTCCTTTCTTTTAATTTCAGTCTATTGTTCCTTGCCATGCTCTTGGTTTCAAGAAAAAAACAAGTTGCAGATTACTATTCTGTGTTCCTCTTTTGTAAATTAAAGGTCTGTTTTAATCGTTCCCCACAAGGCTTAGTTTCCAGATCTCTGTCAGCCTGATAGTTCTCCTCTGAACCCATTTCAGCTCTCTGCTTCCTTTTTAAAGTGCAGTGCCCACCTACAATAAGCACAGTCTCATCAATGAGAGTACAGTTGAACAATTATTCTCCATGCTGCTGCAAAGCATGTTTGGTTATAATCATTTGGTGGTCTGTTAGTATTCCTAGATCCTTCTCAAATGCATTGCCGCTAAGCCTGGTCGCCCTGAACGTAGACCTGGGCATTTACTTTTTCCTACTCAGATTCAAGACTTACACTTTTCACAATTAAACATCCTTTGGATTGATGGATTTGGCCCACCATTCAAACCTTTCTGGGTTATTTTGAATTGTGATTTTGTCCTCTAAGTTATTGTCTCTAAATTTATCAAATCCCTTTCATCTGCTACATCGTGTCTATAGCTTTTGAATAGCACAAGCCTGACAACAGAGCCCTGGGCAGCCCCACTTGATCTTTCCCTCCAGGACAAAGCAGAACCATTTATGAACAACGTTGTAGTGCTGGTTGTTCGACTAGTGGCACATTCCCTGGACTGCAGTGTCATCTGGGCCACACTTGTTCATTTTATCCACAAGGATATGAGAGACCTTGTCAAATACTTTATTGAAATCAGCGCACGCTACTTAAGGTCTACCAAACAAGTCCCTTTGTCATAAACATTGCTAATATTTTTCTGATAGCACTTGTTCTTTACAAAACATGCCAACTCAGTTTTCAGACATTTTCTGTTTCTTTAGAATTGACACATTCTCTCCTCCTACAGCTACATTTAGAGCTCTCCCACTAGATCTCTGTTATACCTATCAAATCATATTTGTTGTGAAGACTTCATATTTATTAAGCTCTGAACTAAGAGCTCAAGCTCAACTCGTTTATTTCCCATTCTCTAAACTTTAATGATTTTTAGTGATAAAAATAGGATTTTATAGGAATAATGGAGACAAGTGGGATAAATGCTATGATTAGATAACAGCAATAGGGCAGAATATGTTTAAAATGAACAGGAAATAGAAAGGAATGTGTTACACTGTACATTAACAATCTACAGTCCCACTCAGGAATGAACGTGAAGAAACTTGGTAGTGCTGAAGAGAGCATTTGGATTAAAAATAAATGGAAAAGCAATAAAGGCAATGACATTCGTGGTGTTTACCATCTCCCATTCAATCATGGAGAAGTTATGACGCCTTCCAAAAGCAAATAGCAGGAATAAAATAGTGGTGATGGGGGACTTCAGGTACTCTGGTATCTGTTGGGATGCAAGTTCTGTCATTGGAAGAAATTCCTGAATTGTCGTAACATTTTTCATCAGACAGTGGTGGAAAGCAGAATAAGTTCCTTTGTCCTGGATTTGATATTAAACAAGGGTAGGATTTAGTTGAAGAAGTGCAAGGATTAGGAATTTAGGGGAAAGTGAATATGTGATGCAGGAATGACATTGGGACAACTCTCTTATTGTTCCCCATCCTGTCATTTAACAGGAGCAAGGCAAAAAATGCACTGGTGCAGTTTATAGGATGGTGTGCTTGGATGTGAAAGGAAGCTCCATCCACTGTTGCCTTGCCCAGTGCCCAGAGGGGGGGTGCCAGCTGGAGGACAGAAAAAATGATGGGAGGGAAATGAGCTGTTAACAGTAGACACTGGTCTTTTCTTGCCTTGTCTTGCCTAGTTTACATGACTCACTTTCTCAAGATGTAATGCTCAAGGATACTACAAAATGTCTGTCTGAGGGAAGAAGGAAGCCAGCGCTTCCAATGATCATCCCTGAGTGTCATGCTTCATCTAGTAGAGAACACAACATCTGAACGTTGCTGGCAAGTCTTAAGATTCAGATTAAGTTCATTTTCTCTGGCCCTTTGCTTTATTGAAGGGTCAAATTCCCTAGGAAGAGATTTTGCTGGCAATTCAAATTGGTTGTGGGGGAAGCCTAGGGAATCTCTCACACCTCTCTTGAACATCCTTTTCTTCTGCAGATGCTGTCCATACACTCACCTGTGCCATGATGCTCCTCAATACTGACTTGCATGGGCAGGTAAGGAGGTTCTCTCAGAGGAAGGAGTGTTGGCTCACCTTCACTTACTTGAGTAGAGAAAAACTGCTCTATCTGATGGCCATATTTGTGGGGGAGGATCTGTAGTACCTGTAGAACAGGGTTCACATGATGGTTCTTGTTTAGATGGTACAATATGGGCAGTGCAGCATCTTCAGCTCTCTTTGTCTCTCCCATCTACATGCTTCTGGAATCAGAATATTGGCCGAAGCATGAGCTGTCAGGACTTTGTTGCCAATCTTGCAGGCCTAAATGATGGCAAGGACTTCTCCAAAGAGCTGCTAAAGGTATGTGTAGCTCCCTTCTACTCAGGCAAAGGAAAGGAAGCCTGTAGCCCAACAGATGTCGAACCTCACTTCTAGCCAGATGGCCAATGAAAAGAGAGGCTTAGAGCTGTAATTCAGCAACACTGGGGTGCAGAACTTTGACCCACCCAGTGTAGGCAGTATTCATCAAAATGTTCAGGTCACGTTCCCTGGAAGCAATCAGCCAGTTCCCACAATTGCATCATTGGAGACTTCAGTAGCAGTATTTTTGGTGGGGGAAGGTGCTCGTGGTTGAAATTATCAGAAGACGTACATTGAGGGGTTGGTCCTAATTTCCTGGATGCGTTCCTTTGCTGGGGAATATTCTACACCGGTAGTGGAACAGGGCAGGCACAAGTTCAGCTTATTGTTGCCCGGAGGTTACAGAGCTGGTATTATAGATTGTATTTACTGACACAGAGAAAGAGGAGAATCTGATGCCAAGGCTCAGGCCTGTGCCGTCCAGCTTGAATGCGGCCATTCCATATTCTCCCTAAGGGAAGGAATGGTACAGTGTGGCCGTCAGCTGGGAGGTGTCATACCAGTGCTCAGGAAAATATCAGAAGACCACTATTGTGGCTGCACTCTGCATACACCATAGCCAAATAACGGGAGTGTGTTTGGGAAGCTCCCTATGAGGCAGCAGTGTGGTGCCACAAGGTTGCAGTAGGAGAAGCTGTGACCTTTTTCTGGGCTTACCGTGGGAGCACCTGGTGGCCACCATGGGAAGCAGGATGCTGGCTAGATGGTAGTCCAGCAGCCTGATCCAATTGATTGGTTGTTCAATCTGCCCTTTCCCACAGTTATCCCTCCTCCCCCCGCCCCTCAATCAGGCACTCAGTTTCAATCCTATTTGTTTAGAATGTCTACATCCCAACTTTGCTTGACAGTGGGCCTTCAAGGCAGTTTACAAGAAAGAAATCAGATACAGTAAAGGTCTTTTTTAAAGATGATAGCGGAATCTCCCAAAGGTTCTCCATCAGCTGCTGTTTAAAAGCCTTACTTTGGAAAATTAATTCCTGTGCACACAAGACTCTCTGTTCTGTGGCACCCCGTCCCAGGCCCTGACCACTCCTCACCCTTGAGACTGCTGGTGGTGTAACCTCATGGGCCTGTGAGGACAGTTTTGGTTTGGGTACAGTCACACACCTCCTTCCCCTTGCAACTGTCCAACAGAGGACAAAAGTGATACATGAAGGGCAATGCAGAGAGTGCTGATCCAATTTGTTCTGCATGAAGAAGCTAGTTAGATGAAGGAGAAGGGGTAAGACTTCCCTAAATTCATCCCCTGACAACACCTGCCAAATCAGTTGGAGGGCTGGCTCCAGCTGCAGACCAGGTCCAGTGCCCGCACCTGTTCTGGCAAGAGGGCAGCTCCTAGCTTTTCTCCACAGCTGGTAATGGCTGAGGAAGGGCTGGTGATACTTTTAAGAACAGAACCCCAGAAGTTGCAGTTCTGGGAGAAGCTTATCTTGAAGGATGGGGGTTGGATGTGGGGAAGAAACATCTTAACATCTCAGCGTTTTTGTGTCTGTCCAGGCACTGTATAACTCCATCCGCCACGAGAAACTGGAATGGGCTACGTAAGTAACAGCAAGATACAACGGGGCCTTTGAGGAAGCAGAAGGGAAGACTGAGGTCAAAGAGGGTGGGCAGGAAAGCCAGTCCTTTGAGCGACTCCCTTCTTCATTATAAAGGGGATGGGGGCTTTGCCCCTTCATGAGCTGTGTGGGTGGGCTACCATGAATCCACAACATTTGTCCGTGATTCAGAAATTTCAAATATTAAGCCTGTAGAGATGAAAAGGCAGTTGTCAAGGAGGACAAGGAGAAGAGAACATTTCAGAAACTAAAGCTGGTGCAGAGGAGCTTGTTTGCCCCTACAGGAAGCCTAAACTGTGTCTCAAACTGACATCAGGATTGTGCTGTGCTGCCACAGGAAAGGAGGAGGCCCAGTGATATTTCCCAAGTTCATTACATGCTCAGGGAAGAGGATGCTTAAGATTTCAGGATTCCCCAGAATGTCTAGTGTTGCTAGAGGGCAGTAGGAATGCCCAGCTGTCTGCAGCAATCACTGAGATGCTGGTGAGCTCAGCTGATGAACTGATTTTGATGCTTTGAGTCTTTACCATCTCTTCTGGAGGAGATGCTGTTTCATATTTGCAGGTGCTCAAATACTGCTTGTACCAGAGACAAGAGGTCAAGGAGGTGGTACAAGAGAGCTGCAAAGACCTGGTAGGCAGGGGTTCATACTGAACTTGAGCAGTTCCACTTAGATGACAGAAAAACTCGTATTTTTCAAATTGTGAATGGTGTCTTCTTTCATACTTTCAGGGTTCCTGAAATTTGAAAGGCATTTGCAGGTTAAGACTCAGTAGCAGTTTCTTCCATTCAATGCATAAACACAGATTTTCTCCCAACCTCTTCTTTTCACACTTGGTGTGATTATATCAGCCAAAATCATACTGTTTTGTTCCCAGACAGATAAGGTTTTAAACACAGTGGCAGAGAGCCTTTTGTACTCTGGTCACCCACATCTAAAGGGCCATAGGGTCTTGGCCCTTGGCACTCCATGGTTCATCAACTTTCAGCTCTTGGCACTTGAAAAAATATGGCCCAGATATTTCCTCAGTGCCCTTTACAGGCAGTCTCTCTAGGGAAGGCCACCTGGAGATGTCATCATTATGCAAATGATACTCAGATTGTTCGCAAGGCTGCTGACATCATTACTTGAACATATTATTGGAGTGTAGGTGAGCTAATAAATTAAAAAACTGGGAATGCATTGTGTACAGAAGTTGCACTTGGTCTGAAGGATCTGATTGCCACTTGAGGGATTTACGAGGCTCTTACTGTGGCTTTGCATACTATCTGTAGAAATGCAGCAGTACCCTATCCTGCCAGGAGCAGATCTGACTGCAGCATCCTGTATTGTCACTAACAGCAGCAGCTTGTGTTGAGAAGGGGCTGGCTGGGGAATTCTGGGAGTTGAAGTCCACACATCTTAAAGTTGCCAAGTTTGAAAAAAACTGGTTTAGAAGGTTTCAAGTGCAGGCTCACTAGGGCTGTAGGTGAATCATGCCAACAGACTGTTTCCTGGGCCAGTTCAAGATGCTAGCATGGGTGGGTCTTCCAGCTGAAGTTCCAGCTTCAACCACCCTGAGATATGATGAGAGTTCTCCACTGCTGCTTGGGAGTCTATAGGGTAGTTGACAAAATGCAGTCATCATGCCTCCTACCATGTGAGTTTGCCTTAATCTGTACCCTTCAGGGAGCCTGTTCTTTTGCTACTATTAAGAAAAATTAGGAAGGATGTCCTAGGGGGCCTTTTAAGTGATGGTGTTCTGATCTCCTCCATAAGATCAGGTTGGCTAGCTCTTTGTCTGGCAACCTGAAAATGCTTTAATTGCTTGCTTGAAATTTGCTGATTGGTTGTCAGACATCTTAGCCACCAGAAAGGCTGATTCAAAATTTGCTATCCTCTTTTGTTTTCTAATCCCACTCTAGTTGACTTTAACTGATCCTTAAAAGCTAAGCAGGGTCTGATCTAGCTAGTATTTGGGTGGGAGATCTCCAGAAAATATCATGGCTGCAGGCTAGTCTGGGGTTTGGAAAAAGAACCCAGAATAAGGCAGTAGCAAACTACTTCCATGGGGTTACCAATCAAGCTTTCCTTGAGAGAGTTTTTCTTCTCCTCTATTTTTTTCTCTCTGTACAGGCCTGTGCAAAATGTTTGTCTCTTCCCTACAGGGATGAGGAAGAGACACTTGGTGTAAAGACACCCCTGAGCCCCACCAACACCCAAAGGAAAAGCAACCCTTTTCTGACTGTGTGGCATGACCCCGGGGCAAAAGTATACCAGCAGGGCCTCCTTGCTCGTAAGGTGCACGCTGAGGCTGATGGCAAGAAGAGTGAGTGCTGAGTTGTGGCCTGGACAAGCAGCTCTCGATCCTCTCGCACGGGCGAGAGAGAGGCCTGCAGAGTCTTCAGTGGGAGCGCAGCTGGGGGCTTTTGAACCTTTTCCCAGCTCTTCCCCACCCTTTTCTGCTCTCTTCCCCACCCACCCCAGGGGAAGCCCCAGTGGCTCACCAGTCGGACTGCTTAGTGCCAAGGGAAAGTTTCCTTCAGCGGCACTAAGGTCAAGATCAGATAGCCAAGCCCTGTGGACTGGAACCTGAAGGAAGGGGGGACAGCAACCAGTGAGAGGAAAGCCGCTGACCACTCTTCCTTCCCTCCTCTGCAGCTCCCTGGGGCAAGCGAGGCTGGAAGACCTTCCATGCTGTGCTGAAGGGGACAGTGCTGTACTTCCTCAAGGTAACAGGGACCACCCAGGCAGGCCCTCAATCATCGGGAAGTGCATTCTGGCCAAGGGTTGTCCCACATCAGGCCACAGATAGGTGTGCTCAGGAGAGGTTCACAGGCAGCCCGTGGGGAGTTCCCTTAATTTGTGGCTGCTAAGGGCCATCTCAGGCCAGTGCATCCTCGCTTTGCTGAGGCTTACGAAACCTGTGCTGTGCGTGGCCCTGCTCTTCACCTGATGAGTATGCGGAAGTCTGAAAAGAGCCGTGTACAGGAGGTGGCAGAAGAGCTTCCCCGGCATGCAAGGAAAGCATCAGAGTGGCTTACAAACCCTAGCTTAGGGTAAGCTGAGGCTGGAGAGAGATGTCACAAACAGCAACGCTTCTATGGCTATATAAAAATAAACAGTGGAAACTGGAGGGAAACAGAAGGAAAAAGAGTAGGTCCACTACTTAGGGATGGGTGAAGTGTTGATTAGAAATGAAGAGAAGGGAGGACTGTCTTCTCCTGCAAGAGACCGTGTTCCACCTTGTAACAATGAAACAAACGATGAAAAGAGGGACTTGTAGCTCAGAGTAGTTAAGAACTGATTGGAAATACATGGCTTCAGGAACAAATCATTCCCCAAGTTCCTGGGTATAGATAGTGGATGTTATTTAAAGCCTCTGTATATACCTTTTGAGAGTTCTTGTAAAACAGGATGGATACCAAATGATGAAATGAACTAGTGGTCTGTGATGCTCTTCTGGAGGGGAAAAAGTTGGTTCTAGTCTGAACTGAGCCAGGTTAATCTTCTGTATGCCCTGCAAATAGATTTAGATGTCTTAGTGGAATACAAATTAGCAAAATAATAGTATTTTTATTTGTGTGCTTTATTTTGTGTTGCACAGCTAAGAGACAGTAAATAGTCCACCTTGCTGATCACAGAAAGCTAAGGAGGGTCAGGCTGATTAGTGCATGAATAAGAGATCCCCAGAAAATAGAGGGCTGTAGGCTAGAAAAGTGGGGAAAAGACACCCTGAAGACAATAAAGACAGGCTTTATCTTGACTGTATGGAGTTGACTGTATGGAGTCAAGCTGAACTTGAAGGAGATTTTATCTTTTTACTTTATTCTGCTTTTTAAGAAGGATAGTGACAGATGAGTGTTTCCAAGAAGATGAAGAGGCAGAAAACCAAGTTCTGTGAGGAATGGTTGAAAGCAGTGGATATGTTTAGAACAGAAAATGAAGGGGAGGCATGATGGAAGTATCAAAATAATCTAAAAGACTGTTATAGAGAAGGAAAAGGGCAGGACTAATGTCAATAGATGTAGATTGGAGGGAAATGGCAAGAGTGCAAGTGGGTGGTCTCAAGGGTGCTTGGTGCTTGTTCAGTGGTGCATGTAATCCCCTCCCCCACACACATCTCCTCTTGCAGCTTTAATACACTTGCTCTTCACAGGACTGGACCTATCCTGGGTTGTTTTGTTTTTTGCTATCGTACAGGATGAACACCATTTGGAGGTCTCAGACTCAGAGGAACTCATTGGGGTACATCATGCCCTGGCAGAGAAAGCCAGCAAATATACCAAACGGCCACATGTCTTCCGGCTCCAGACTGCGGACTGGCACATCTTCCTCTTCCAAGCCCCGTGAGTTCCTGCAAGCCTTAATGAAGCTCTAGCCTTGCCATGAGTCAGAATGTCTAGTGCAGAAGAGTAGCGGAATATACATATATATATACATATATATATACATGTATATAAAAAAGAAATGGCAGCCCTTTTCCAGACTTCTGTCTTCTTCCAGGACTCCTTAGTGCAGCCCTGGGGACGTCTCTTGGGTTTTCCACCAGCCACCAAATTTTAAAGTATTTATACCACTCTTCCTCCCAGAGGAGCCTACAGAATATATTTTATATCTATCTGTCTATCATCTGTCTATCTGTCTACATACATATACATATATATACACACACACATATACATATACATATATATACACACACACATATACATATATATATATACACACACACATATATACATATATATACATACATATATATATATCTGTGTGTGTATGTATATGTGTGTGTGTGTGTGTGTGTATGTATGTATGTATGTATTTTTATATCTATCTATCTATCTATCTATCTATCTATCTATCTATCTATCTATCTATCTATCTATCTATCTATCTATCT